TGACCTTTTATTTATCTTATGATATTTTTCAACCTTATAACTCACAACTATATTTCTAAATTTCTTTCTCTTGGAGACTCCAGTTCTTTGTTATCCTCTCACTTTTGGGAAAATCATCTCCTCTATTTCCCTGCTTCCCTTTCTTCTCTCTCTCTCCCTTTCTCTGAGTTATAGAAGCCTGGCTGCCACTAAGTTCTTGGGTATTCTCTCTCTCCCATGCTCAAAGAAAGAGGCTTTCTCCCCTACTCTCATGCTGACCCCAGTGCCAGGCCCCAGGTACCATCCCTCCCCTCTGCTAAGGGGCTGGTCTGTCATACTTCCTTCTTACTGTTTGCGGTGAATTGCTTGATGTGGCCCTTCTAGCCATTGTCCTCCATTTTGTGATGTATTGTAAATCCTATTATCCATGCCTGTTTAGGGTGCTGTGGTAGTTAAGGTCCTGTGTTCAGTTGGCTGGGCAGCTGATAGTAGTTATTCCCTATAATGACTGGGAATTAACTCTGTGGTGTAATTTGCCTTGAGCAACTGAGTTGTTGTTGTTATGTGCTGTTGAGTTGGATCCGACTCATAGCAACCCCTCCTTGGGTTTCCAAGGTGGTATCACTACAGAAGTAGATTTCCCATCCTTCCTTCTGAGAAGTGGCTGGTGGGTTTGAACCGCCAGACTTCTGGTTAGCAGTCAGGTGCCTTAGGCACTACACTACCAGAGCTCCTATGAGCAACTGAGTAGCTGCTTTTAAATTCCTGATTGTTAAAGTCATCCACGTGGGGTATTTCTGTTGGAACAGCATGAAGTAACCAAAACAGGTGGGATATATCTTGAGTCCCGCCTTGCTGGAGAGGGTAACTCAAATCACCACCCTTAGCTTCCTTGAGGGTATGTATAGGAATCTTCTGAGAAGGTTCACTCTCCCTCTTGCTCTGGTTCTGCAGATACAGCAAGACCCTTGCTGCTGCTCTGCTGGCCTTTTATTTATCTTATGATATTTTCAACCTCATAACTCACAACTATATATCATCATCTCACCCCTGGATTTGAGAGAGCAGCCATCATCTGATCTGCTGATTGAGGTTTATAAAACCCTGAGAATTGGGAGGATCATCCAGACCTACTTACAGACCTGGGACTTGCCAGCCTGCCAGCTTCCACCACCACTACATGAGATAATCCCTTGGGTGTCTGTGAGTTCTGTGAGATGTTACAGTGAAATACAGAACCCTAAGACAGAAGGGAGATTACTGAGAGGAGGAGGAGGAAATAATGTCTGAAATAATGGTGTGATACAATAGTTTGGACATTTGGGACATCTTTAACCTCTGCCTCACGGGGACCAGCCTCATACTGATCTTTCTAAAGGAAATTGTTCAAGTACTGTCCATCATCTGTAACTTTTGCTTCCTCTGTGGCTTCTTATCCTTAGCTTATTAATAGGTTCAGTGGCTCTGCCTTTCATACCCCTTTGATGACCTCTCCAGTCCTCTGGTGATGGCCCCCATCTTTGTTCTTGGTGGCTTCTCCATTTGGAATGGTGCATTTCCTACCCTACCCTGTTCCTAGCAAACCTGACCTGTTGTTTAGAAAGGACTTTCTGGAGGCCTTCACTGACCCTTCCATCTGGACTATAACCACTCCCATGGGCCTTGCCCCAGCATACCATCCCTCCTCACTGTAGTAACACTGACAACATATACAGTGCTTGTTTCCTTGCCTCCACTAGGCTGTAATGAGGGTGGAGACTGAGTCAGTCTTTTTGTCTCAATGCCTGGCAAGGAGTTGATAATATCATGTGAATGAACAAAGCCACCCTATCCTGCCAAGAGCACCATACTCCAGCATACACAAACACACACTCAATTTCACTTTGATAAAGTGGGTCATTTTGCAAGGATGTTTGTATAGGTCTGGAGAGAGAAAGTGTCTACCTAAGGACTGAGGTAAGGGCTCTGGCCTCCTCAGATGGAGTCCCACACTGCACCCCAAAATGTAGAAGAGACACTAAAATATGCTTTCACATTTTCATAGGTTAGCTCCAAGGGCCCGTAGAGGCTGTCTCATTCATGTTCTTTATTTTAGAAATGAAGAGTCTGCACCCCAGAAGCGAGATGGCCAGGGACACATGCAAGTTAATAGCAGAGCCAGAAAAAGAACCCAGGCCACTGCTGCTTGTCTGTTTAACTGCTTCTCTTCTTGAGTAAAAGTTTAACCATGTCCCAAGTGCAGTCCCTGACCTCTGCCCTTGGGGTTTGAACAGAACAATTTTCCCCAGAAGGCATGTTTGCTGGTCCTATGGCCCAGCATTCTGATGACCTCCACACGTGGGATGGTATCTGCTAGCTCAGAAACCACGTATGGAGTAAGGCTGTGAGCCTGCATTCATTACGTGTAGACTTTATGTTCATGTAGTAGTTATAGGAATTGTTCTGATGCCCTCTTTGTGACATGTGATTAATGAGGAGTTTGAGGCCATGCCAAGTGATGGGAGTGGTGGCCACAGGCAGCGTTTTATGTGCTCTGCCTGCTGATCCTGTGCATTACTGGCATTTTTTCCCTGTGAGACACAAGCATGTCCTTAGGAGACTGGTCCCCAGGTCTTGCTTTGACCTTATAGCTGTATTTGAACCCACATCTGTGGGAAGCCTTTTCACTTAGTTGGCCCAGAAAAAGAAGCAGATAGAACAGTAGACAGTGAATAGGGCTCAGCCTGAGTCCTTTTAATTACTTATTAAGCTCTGGCCTTAGTGTTATCTGCTGTAAAATTCTGAACTTACATGATTCAGAAGCCAGCCAGTTAAAGATTCAGGAGCATTTTCTTTGGCCACACAGGGACCCTCACACCATGAACAGAGGCCCAGCTTTCTCCTGTGGTATCAGAGGCCCCCATGTCCTAACTGTTCCCATCCCTCCAGCTTCTTCTTTACCACTCCCTGCCGCCCACTCTGGTAGCATAGTGCCTAAGGCATTTGACTGCTAACCAGAAGGCTCCCAGTTCAAACTCACCAGCCACTCCTCAGAAGAAAGACTGGGCAATCTACTTCCATAGAGATACTGCCTCAGAAACCTAGGGAGGGGTCACTACGAGTCAGAATCAACTCAATGGAAGTGAGGTTTTTGTGGGTTTTTTTTTTTTTTTTTTTTGTTTAACCATTCACTTTGGGTCAGTCATGTTCATTCCAGGACATACCATGATCAGGTGTATGGGAGACACTGGGCCTTTACAGTGTAGTGGTGTTGACAGTGTAGTGGTGTTCCTTTTATTCCTGGGACTCCTGTTCATGCATTCGAAGGGATGGTAAGGAATGCATGAACTTTCCTTTTTATAACTAGGGTGCTGGTACAGTGGTAAAAATTCAAATGAGGGTTGAGACTTGCAAATGCTCCCCGGGTCCTATGTATTCCTTTCCTAGGACTGCCCTAATAAATGGCCACAAACTATGTGGCTAAAATAACAGAAATTTATTCTCTCACAGTTCTGGAAGCCAGAAGTCTGTATTTAGGGTGTCAGCAGGGTCATGCTCTAGGGGAAGAGCCTTTCATAACTCTCACACTTTCTGGTAGCCCCAGGTTTCCTTGGCTTGTAACAGCATCATTCTAATCTCTAACACTGTCTTCACATGACCATCTCTCCTGTGTGTCTGTGTCTCTTCTCTTTTCATAAGGACAACAGTCATATTGGATTGGGGACCACCATATTCCAATATGATCTCATGTTAACTAATAACATCTTCAAAGGCCGCATTTCCAAACTAGGTCACACTCACAGGTACTGGGGGATAGGACTTCAGCATATCTTTTTGAGGGACACAATTTGATGCATGACTTTGTGTTGAATCTCTTACTTACATTGGACCCCAGAATTTGTATTAATCTCATCCTTAAGAAGGAAAGGGTGATTTTATTTTAATAGCTTACACTCTTTGTTCTCTTGGCTTCTTCAGGATGCCCTCTGCTGGACCGCAGCAGAAATCTGTTCTGGGAGCAGGGACTGGGGCCTCTGCTTCTGATAACTCATTTGGTCGTGGTGTTATGTGCCATCGAGTTGGACCCGGTTCATAGTGACCCCTCCTTGGGTTTCCGAGGTAGATTGGAAGTAGATTGCTCAACCTTCCTTCTGAGGAGTGGCTGGTGGGTTTGAACCGCCAGCCTTCTGGTTAGCAGTCAAGTGCCTTAGGCACTATGCTACCAGAGGACATGCTGACAGGCAGGTGGTGGGATGTCTTTCCTGATACTACTCAGCTAGGCTCACTTTTTATTGACATAGAAGAATACAGTCCAGTTGCCATCAACTCAGTTCCAACTCTTTGTGACTCCATGTGTGTCAGAATAGAAATGTGCTCCATTGGGTTTTCAGTGGCTGATTTCTCAGAAGCAGATTGCCAAGACTTTCTTCTCAGATGCCTTTGGGTGGGACTTGAATTTCCAAATTTTCAAATAGCAACTGAGTGCGTTAATCATTTGCGCCACCCAGTGACTGCTAACCTTCAGTAATGTGTAGGTTTCTTGGAGCTTCCTGGTTACTTTACTGACTTCTGTTTCCAACTTACAGAAGGAAAAATCTAGCACTATGTGAGATATGCAGACTATGGAGGCCCTTCCTGAAGTATGAATTTATAATGTAGCAGCTGGAAGCTCAAGTGAATACTAGTTCCCTTTATTACTAGTTGTATAGATCTTGGGTATATTGACTAACTAACTTATCCTGGTTTTCCTGAAACTTTCTCAGTGTTGGCATTGAAAATACCATGTCCTGAGAATGGACATTCTCAGACCTGGGCAAAGTCGCATGGTGATCACTCTACAGTTGATTAACTTTTCTGAGCCTCAATGTCCTCAGAAAAAGCAATACTACCTACTCCAAAAATGTCTAAGAAACAGTGCGACATTCAAGAGGAGATGATATGAGAGTCCCTGTAGGTTGGCCCCTTTCTTGAAGAGGTATTGGAATTCATTTCAGCACAAAGGACATATGACCTTTAAGCTTTTTGCTCTGCTTGTGTTGTAGATTGAGCAAATGAGGAACGAATTACTTCAGGAGAAAGCCATGAGGCAAGACTTGGAATGTGACAAGATTTCCCTGGAGAGACAGGTGAGGGCAGCCAGTCTAGTGACTTTGGATGGGAATTCTTTGGTGATGCTGCCTTTAATAAGCCCCAAGAACTCTAGGTGTAACTCACCTGAAAGGTAGAGGTGTTTCTATGTCTTTCTAGACATTTTCCCACTAATAGCAAATCTGCTTAGATGTTTAGCATCTGAGGAGCTGAAGAATTGTAGATGTTATTTTCTAGCTCCTGAATCAGATAAATTCTAATGTAAAGGGAATGAAAAGGAAACCAGTGTCATGATATCAAACACCTGAGTTGCTAAGAAAACATAATTGAATCATTTCTTTTATATTCTATTCATGTAAATTCTTCACTGAATAAGATTGGTGAAGGAACCTATTTCTCTGTCCCCTCCCCCCAGCAGGTTTATAAAAGGACACCCCAAGCCTGATTGTCTAACACCCAGTGAGTATATTTAGTGTCTATAGGGGAGCATAATCCAATGTCTTCTTCAGCCAGCTAAGACCTGAGCTCAAGGCCTATCCATAGAAACATCCCTAGGTACAGTGCATCTGGGTGTGGAAAGCAGCCTGTTGAAGTGCCAGTTAAACACTTGACTCCACCCTTTATTCTGCCCTGCTCTGCACAGAGAGCATGACAGAGACATAGCTCTTCACAGTCTCCCTGTCTGATTCTAGAACAAGGACTTAAAGAGCCGGATTATCCACCTGGAAGGTTCCTACAGGTCCAGCAAAGAGGGGCTGGTGGTGCAGATGGAAGCCAGGATCGCAGAGCTGGAGGACCGCCTGGAAAGTGAGGAGAGGTGAGCCCACCCACCTGTGTGGCAGAGGCCCTGCAGGCAATGGTAACAGTTTGTACCAACTGGGGACCTAATCACATTACAGAGTGTTTTCAGTTTAGTATCTCCCAATGTGCATAAGCCTTTGAGGAAGGGAAGACTAAGCACAACCTTGCTGTTACTGTTTCCATTGTACAGATGAGAAAACTGAGGCTCATCAAAGCAAGTGACTTGAGCAAGGTAGCCTGGCTGAATATTGATTTAACTAGACCTCCCACTCCTAAGTCCACAGTTTTTCCACTGTCCTTGCTCCTCTCCTAAATAGTACAGGCTGCCTCATAGGCCACTGAATTTGAGCTGACTTATTTTCCTCTGATGACATCTTGCTTTAGAGATGAGGGGGCTGACTTTCTTTGTGGTCATGGGTATATAGACAGAGGCCAAGTAGCAATTGTTAGACATGGGGCAGGTCCACCATAGTGTGTGGAAGGGATGTGGGATCAGATGACCACGTTCCTTTCCAACCCCTCAATTCTCTGCAAAACAAAAATAAACAAACAGAAAAACACCAACTCTGTTGCTGTTGGGTAGATCATAGTGATACAGAGTAGAGCTACCCAAAAGGGTTTTCAAGGCTGAAGTCTTTACAGAAGCAGACTGCCACATTTTTCTCCCTCAGAGAGGCTGGTGGGTTCGAACCTTTCAGTTAGCAGCCGACCACTTTAACCACTGTGCCACTGGGGCTCCTCTGATTCTCTGCAGTGAGCTCTCAAGTCACAGCCTGAGGGCCAGCACTAGGTGGAACTTGACCAGCCTCAGTTCTTACCGGGCCCCTCACCTAGAAGGTGTATGTGTGTGCCTTTAACATTTTACATTA